TAGGTCGCGGTGCATACCTCATTTTAATATCTATCTACATATATATCTCACTCAGGCTCAGAAGCCTCATACCTTACATAAAAATATTGAGGTATGTAAGTACATCTTTTATGCAAGCTAATGTAATATGCACTGACTAACGCCGGCGCCAATCGCCAGTTGTCTCTCAATAGCTCTTCTCAAAAGCACTCTAATAATTTAGCTCAGTAGATTATGAATATCTGCATAATTTACTATCGACCCTTGGCATGCCGTCGAGTAACTAATGCCCATAATTAGACAATAGCAGACACCTCAATGATTGACATATTTTGCGCACTTTACATATACATACTTGCGCTAATCTAAAATATCACCACTACGTCTACATATGTACCTCCCTAGTCATTCCGGATGCGATATATGAATATTCTTATATAAATACATATGTGTGTACGTAAACATGTATGCATTTTTGCATTGAGTACCTTTTAATTTTTATTGGAGCAGCAATTGCCCACAATTTTTTTAATAAACACAATTTTTGTTTCGTTTTTATTGCCATGTACTGCTAATCACATTCCCGCCGCTAAGCTACTGCCTTTCAACGTCTACTCCCATTCATTAATGCCTTCATTCATACATTCGTTCAGTGGAATACGAGCGCTTTATTGTTTTTCCTGTTCGCGTGGGCGTTGTGTCGCACACTTCAGCGAATAAAAATTAATTGAGAAAACGTTGTGAAGGGATTTTTGCAAATTAATATTCATTTGTATTTGCACATAAGCGACTGCAAGTAAGGGACTGCAAGTAAGGGAAGCGGAAATTGCAATTTCTTGTTGTTGTCAGAGATAGAAAATAACGAAGCAAATACAAATAACTTATGCATGAAAGTAAATAAAAGTAGTGTTGAAAATAAACTAGTACATAAATAAATGGCAAAAAATATGAAAATTATACCTCGAAAGATGTTGAGAAAGAGTTGGTTTAGTGACTGCAAGAAATCATTGCATACATTTAGGCATTGCACAAGAGGTTTTAACGTAACTTTTTGTTGGCGCATTTGAAATTTTTATGTACATACATACATACATAAATTTAATTCAATTCAATTTACAACATTTCAATAAACAGACCACTATCGTTTCAGTAGTTGGAGGTCTCCTTTTCATCTTCTTGGCACTCAGAGGAACTGCAAATGAAGCTATTTTTTGAAAATTGCACAAAAAACAAAATAAATAAGTAGGTACTTACTCGATTTTTCTTGCAATAAGACAGACATTCTCCAGCGTCACATCTCGATCTACATAGTACTTTAACGTCGCTTTAAAACCATGGCTCCTTAAATATTGCAATCGACCATAGTCAAGAATACGTTTGCACATGCCACCAACGCGTTCCCGCTCAGCCAAACTCAGACGCTGTTTGGAGTTAGCATCAGCTACCTCTTCGGGCTTTTGTGATTGTT